CCTTTCCTCTCCCTTCTTTCCCATGTGCAGAGAGAGAAAGCACCCAACTGCATGAAGGTGGCATGTCAGGAGCCCCATGCTGGGCCCAGAGCTTAGCACCATGTCAGGCAAACAATTTCCCGGCCCATCCCGTGTGTCAAGCACTGTGTGGTGCTACGCAAAGCAGATATGTTCCCCACAGACCCTCAGGGTATAGGGGAGACAGGCATTACCCATGGGATGTCATTTAATATGGATTGTGTATGATTTAGCAAGGCTGGGAGGGGTGTTTGGACAGGCACCCAGGAAGGGTGTAGCAGGGACGTGAGACACCTGTGTCCTGGGGGAGAGAGGACTCTCTGAGGGCTCTAGGCTAGCCAGCCCCATCCATCGCCCTCAGCCCTGGTCTCCTCTTCTCACCCACCTCGGCTGCTCCCCAAGCACCTCCTGATCGTCCACCCGGGACAGGAGAGACTAGGCCTGGGAAGAGCATCGATCCCCCACATGTCTCCTCAGAACTCCAGCCTGGTCATCCTCCGAGAGTCCTGGGGCAGTAACACTACACAGCTGCCATCCTACACCACGAAGAATCAGATCCTGGACTGGGCAGCTGCCAAGGGCTCCATCGCCTCCATCGCTGAGTTGGACGACCCCCGTGCCATCCTCCTCCGTCTGAGCCACGGTCAGCTTCCCGCCTGCCCGCCCCAATGCCCGCCTCTCTGGGATCAGAGGAACCTGAGCTGCTTTGGCCAGTTCCTAGCTGTGACGCGAAGACTCCAGGGCGGACATGGCTTGCCCCAGGTCGCACGGCAAGCCACCAGCGCCCTGTTGGAAGAATAGTTATCCCTCCCTCGCAGATTAGATGGGACTGTGCGAAACTGCTCTTGGACCGACCGCAACAGCACCTTCGCGTCATTTATAGAGCACTTACTGTGTGCTATAGGCACTGGAGGACATGGCCCTCCTGGAGCCAGTAGTGCAATGGGGTTGATGACAGTGAACAGCAGCACAAAGAAATCAATTCCATCATTTCAGGAGGCAGATGAAAACCGATGACATGCCAAGAGTGGCCTGTGTCCTTAGCCCTGGGTGGACAGATGAGGAAACGGAGGGAGGGGCCCAGGGATTTGCCCAGGGTCACACTTCCCAGGAGTAGGGTGGGAAGCCAAGGTCTTCCAAGTCTGGCCCCCACCCCCATCCCTTTCGGCCCCACCCGGCCCTGCCCTGTCCTTTTTGACTGTAGGAGGGTGGGCTCCTGGCTGGGCACCCGGGAGTTGGGAGAGGAGACTAAGGATGCTTGTCTCCGCAGCCCCGAAGGCTTCATCGCCCTTCTGCCTGCCCCAGGAGCACATGGACATGAGCAGCACGCTGGACTGGCAGCCACGTACCCCGGCCTACAACCGGGGCTGCCGCCTGGACGGCGTGACTGGCAACAAGGAGGCCCACATCTTGAGGGTCCTGCCAGGCGCAGACAGCAGGTACCAGTGCCT